TTCCTACGATCAATTTATTTGGAATTTTATGGGGAGAATAATATTTAAGTCATATTCAGTCTGCTCAACATTGTTTTTTGATATTTTATCTGTGTTGGTACATGCAACCCTGGTTTATACTTTTTCATTATATGTACTATTCCATAGATTGAGCCCCTCCCACATTGCATTGATCCATTCTTCGGTTGATGCAGTTAGCTTGTTTTCCTCACCGTTAAAAAAACAATGCTACTATTGTTTTTTATCACAAAAAGAATATCACTATTGTATCTCCCTTAAAGTGCAAGAGTTTCTCTAGCATTTACACCTACCATCGTCATGCTGTGTCAGAAAACTGGATCACCAGTTTGCTCTCCAAAATGGATGTGCCAGTTTATACTTGGATCAGCAGTTATGAGAGTTGCTTCATACCCTTTATAACACCCAATCTGGTGGGCACAAAATAGAATCTAGTTATGGCTTTAATTTGCATTTTTCTAATTAGTTTTGAGGTTGAGCCTTGACTTGCACATCTTTTCAGATGTTTATTGGCCTTTCAGGGATTTTTTTTCTCCTCCCTGTGGTTTCTTGTTCTTGGTTATCTACTGGATTTGTCTTTTTAAAATTGATCTGTTGGAATTTTTTTATGTGTTAGGGATATTGATCTTCAGTTGGTTTTTTTATACATTACAAATATCTTCTCTTGGTTTGTGCCCCTTTTTTACTAATTTTTTTAGGAGAGTATCTTTTTAAATAGGAATCTGACATCTTAACAAGATTATTTTTTTCAGTCATTGTGCTTTTGATGTATTGCTTAAGAAATCCTTCCCTACATTGGGATCATAAAAGATAGTTTCCTGTATAGGGACAGAGATTATATGGCCTACAAAACCTAAAATATTTTCTCTCTGGTCCTTCACAGAGAGATTGGTGACTCTTGCTTTAAAGAGTCTCTTGAGAGTTTTTTTTCCCCTTTGTGGAATATAATGGGAATATTGTCAGAGAATATTTGATTTAAATGTCAGCTAATAATAAGTTAAAATAGTTTTTATGAATTTAATTTTATAGCTTACCCTTAGGAGTATTTTATAATTATATAGGTTATAATTATAAAATAATTCTATTTTATTTTATAGTTATATTCAGAAAATTATATTCAGTACTAACTTTAATAATTCTTTAATTCATGAGTGAAACTGATACTAATAAACTGCAAAAACTGACTTTATAGAACAGTTAAAGAGTGAAGCTCTTTGTAAGTGAGATGATGTGGCTATTATTGTCTCCTACTTGGTTTGGTATGTCAGGAATTCTGATGTTTCTTGGATGGCTGGCTGGCTGGATGGGTAGAGGATGAACGAATGAATGGGATAGTACATATAAGGTGGTTAGCACAGGGACAGCTTTAATAAATGGTAATTATTATCAATAATGGATTTATCAGGATATGTGTTTGTCATTGTCACTCACAATTACAGTGACCCAAGAATTGGCATAACAAGATGGTTTTTCTTTTTGGCCTTGAAAAATAACAGATTGTCTTGTATTTTTTTTCAAGTGTTTAGGTATAGTAATATTTTTGTTGTTGTGGGGAGAGGTTGGAGAAAGTTATGAAATGTTACAGGTTTATATTGTAGTATCTTAATCTACTCGAACTTCTAATTGTAGTGTTGTGAAAGAAATACTGGCAAGGATTTAGCAGTTGGCCTTTCTTTTAAGATCAAATTTAAAAATCCTTCTTCATCCTTTTAAGCCATTTAGGTATATGTCTCTATACCAATACAAGAGAGAGAATATATAGAAGTTGTTAGAGGAACATATTCCAAAAGTTTTTGGTTGCCGACCATCTAAGAACAGTTTTGGCTACTGTCAATTCGAAATGTATTTTTAAACAATTGAATTCTGAGTATGGAAATAATATAGCTGTTATACTCACATGTATGCTGTTATTTGGATTGGGTTTTCTTGCCTTTTGTGGAAGTAAAAGGACTCTAGCCTGTTTCCAGCTCTGGGAGAAGAAGCCATGTCTTAAAGTGTGTGCCACCACGCTCAGTGTGGCCGGTTTACAGGGCTTAGCGGTCACAGGTTTTGGGGGGCCCACACGTTTATCTGTCTTTCTCGAAGTGTGTTATCTCTCTCTTAAAGTGTTAGCCCTTAATTGAGTTGGAGTCCTATAACCTCCTGTCTTTGCTGTTATCATGATTCTGTCTTTAGTTTTCTTACAGCATTGAAAGCGGCTGATTTGGCTTCAAATAATTCTTTTGTTATTAAATGTCTTTTTCAAGCCTCTCTTCTGTTGCCACATTATTTTTTTTCAATCTTTAGATATGATTGTACCAGATCCTTTAACTGGAAATGTCAATAGAAGATCACTCCTGAAGAAATAATTCCTCTGTAATATAGCAAAAGAAAAATAATCAACTTTCTTTCTTAATTTCTTCCTTCCACTCTACCTTCCCATCCACCCATCATCTTCTTGAGGAGTCGCCTTAAGTTCATGGGTGGTATAATGATTTCAGAGCACTTTATCTTAACAAACAGCCCTGGCTGGTGTGGCTCAGTGGACTGAGTGCTGGCCTGTGAACCAAAGGGTCTCTGGTTCAATTCCCTGTCAGGGCACATGCCTGGGTTGCAGTACAGGTCCCTGGTGGAGGGTGCGCGAGAGGCTACTACACATCGATGTTTCTGTCTCTTTCTTTCTCCCTCCCTCCCCTCTGAGAATAAATTAAAAAAATATTTTTAAAAAACAAATCTTAAACAAAAACATGTTTAATATAAAATCAGCCATGATTTATAATTTTCTTAATTATGAAGTGAAAAACAAATTTAAGGTACCTAAATAAAACTGCCCTAGTGGGAAACATTTTCTGAAACTAATTCTCAATCTTTTGTTTTTGTTAGTGCAGCTACTAGCATAACATTTTAATATAAACACATTTCATTATTTAAATTATTAGTGCCCAGTGCACACCCTTTGAAATTTAAAAAGTTCGAATACAAAGCAGCAAGTTATAAAGCTGTATAGTAGCATCCTTTTATTTGAAAAATTGTATGAAAGATGTATTTATACATATATGATGGTTTGCAAGTTAGAGTGAACTATCTGTAAATTATATTGAATGATTTGATTTATTTTGTATATTTCTGTGTTGTTTGAATTTTTTGATCAGGAGCAAAAAAGGAATTAAAAGGTGTAAGTGGTAAAGTTTTAAGTGGAATTGGTATTGAAAAGTGTTCCATCAAAAAGTAGATGATCTTTAAGCTTTTATGGATTACTTTTACCCTTGGATAAAATATGTTCATGTAGTATATAACAATGCATTGGACCCTAGCATTCTAATATTCAGGATGAATTTAGCTGTATCATAGGGAAGAGAAATAGTGTAATTGAGTGAAAAGATGGAAGGTTATAAAAAAGTAAACTAATTCTGCCACCTAGAGTTACCTTAATTCTTTTAGTATGTTAATTAATTAATGTGATCATTGCAAAGGCCATAAGAGAATTCAGTCAGAAATATCATGATATAATTTGTATCCCGTTTTCTGTGTGACCATAAATTGTTAGATATTGCAACATATGTAACATAAACCCCATGTCAGCTGTTTCCTGCCTCACTGTTGACAAGAGCCCCATTCATAACTCTTCTTTTTATCCTTTCAGTGAGTAAGTAATTATTCAATATAGAAGGCAGGATATTTGGAACTGGCTATTTAATGTGGCAGCACTCTGTAATGAAATCTGCTGTTACTGGCAACCTGAGAGGGGAATGTAACAATTCCAGCATAGCTGTAACTTTATCTGCTTTGACTGTTTATTTGGCACATCAGTGAACCTTTTATCCCAGTGAGTGACAGTTCCAGAAGGGTCACATTTACATCCATTCTATCATGTATTGTAATATTTAATGGTGGACAAGGCTGAGCGAGACTGAGAGTAATTTGAACTTGCTTTTCCACTGAGTCGAGGCTGAAAGACAGCTTGAGCCCCAGTGTTGTGGTGTAACATGCTATGACTTAGCATTTGTTGATGAAGGCTAATCTTACTGACTATAATTTTTTTTTAAAAAAACTTCAGTTAAATGGCAGATTTGTTCTACTAAACCATAACTCTCCAACACAAATTCTTTTAAGCTACTATGCTACTTAGCTTTTTTCCCCGACAGTGATCATGTCTATAAACTAACCATTTCACAGTATTTCTCCAACTGAGGCTGCACTGTCTCAAATTAAGAATGTTAGGCAGTAGTTACTCAGAACCCATGGGTTCTAATATACAGCATTGAACTGTTTTTCATTTTTGAGAGTTTAGAAACAGGAGAGAAAAAAAAATCAGGTCAACATCAGACTACATTCCTGAAGTTCTACATATAGTTTGTTTAAAGAGACATTTATATAACCATTTCAATTATGAAACTGAATTATGAGTAAAATTGTCCAGGAAAACCTATCTGGAATGATAATTCTGTTGATGGATTTGCATTCTGTGACAGGTAATTGAATTTCGGATGTACTTGTTTCACACAAGCAACCTGCCTTTAATATTAAATATTAATAATATGCACTCATTTTCATACCTTTGCTAGAGAATAGTGGTCACTTCTTGTTGTTCATTGATACTCTAGATTCAACTTGATATTTCTATTCTTTTGTATGCTGTATTTTAAATATTTTTTAAAATATTGGTATATTTTAGGATATGTAAATGAACGTGTTGTGAACAGAAAACAGTACTATTACCTCTACGCTCTAATATTACAAGTTCACTTGAAGCCTAAGCAAAAATTAAAACTGTCCTCGGTTTTGTCCAATTGTTTTTATAATTCATGAAAGAGGAAAGTTTAAATGTACTTAAAACATTTGAGAACTTGAGAGTTGGAGTGGTTTTTAGGTAGTATCTTGAAATTTCTTTTTATTTGACAGTTGTAATTCATGGGCTCTGATTCCATGAGAAGTTTGATAATATTTTTTATGGTATCCAGACATCAGTTATCTTTTTCTTTCTTTCTTTTTTTTTTGAACAGCAGTCTGGTCACTGTTCTAGGTGCTGCTGTTCTACTAAACAAGGGAACAGTCAAGATTCTTCAAATGCCATTAAGAAGGATCATGGGGGGAAATCCACGGTACCAAAAATATATTTTGGGACACGCACACACAAGCAGATCACTCAGATTACTAGAGAGCTCCGGAGGACAGCGTACTCAGGGGTCCCGATGACTATTCTTTCCAGCAGAGATCACACTTGCGTCCACCCTGAAGTCGTAGGTAACTTCAACAGAAATGAGAAGTGCATGGAGTTGCTGGATGGGAAAAATGTGAGTAACGTTATTTTGTTTTAGAGAAAAAGTAAGGTTGCAAGGGTTAAAGTTACTCAAATTTTGGTGCTCATTTTATTTCATATGTACATTTCCAGTGATGATCAAGTAATGTATGAAAATTGGATTAAGTGCTAGTATTGATATTTTTGCAAAATGATTTTACCATGAGAAAATTTTTAAATTTAAAATTATGAGGTTTTATCCTAAAGTTTGGGGGTATTTAATGCCTTGAAATTAATACCCTTGTAATCAGATGTCTTCTTACTTTCTTTTAAGTCCTTGTACCAAAAGTAGTCAAACATGGATGATGTCATATGAAGAGATAAGTGTTTAAATGATTTAATCTAATTAGATTTCATTACCGTCTTCTACATATTTAGAAACTTCAAAGGAAGATAATTTGTTTAGGCTTTTTCTGAGCAGATTAAAAAATTTTTTTAATGGAATGAGAAATATAATGATTATCCTGTCTCATTCTAATTAGCACACATTTCTCTTCTTAAAAAATTACATGAATTATTAACTTTAAAGATATGTCATTGGTGGTTTTGAAGTTTTCCAGGGAAATCTAGAATAACAAGAATTTGGACTACGTGGAATGTAGAGAAGTCTTTCTTACTAAAGATATATAATTTAAAAATAATTTTTGTCAAAAGTAGTCTGTACACCTGTTTGATAAATAGTTTACTCTAAAATGGAAGTTCTGAGTCTGGAATTACAACCAGAAATTATTGGTGAACCGTAAATTGATAGTATATGAAATGACCAATGATACTTTAATGTTTTTTAAAAGTTGTTCTTTCTTTCACTAGTATTTTGTCAGAGTTGTTTTTACACAAAAAGCTATGAGCTGTGGCTCTTGGAGTTTTGTTTAATTGTTATATCACCTTCTACTCTACAATTTAAATAAATTTATTTTGTATTATGCTTTTCTTAGTGCTTTCTTTTATTAGATGGAAATTTATTCATTTTATTTGGGGACATTCAAAAGATGCTTCAGTAGACATTCATGTAAATATGAAGTATAACTACTAAGGAAATGCAGTGGAAACACTTAAGGGACTTGTTCAGAGCTAGGAAGAAAATATAATAAAACCATTTTTGAAATTCTAGTTATATATTTTTGATAAGTTCTTTTTAACTAACTGAGGAACTGTGAAATCTTCAAAATTTAAGAAGTTCTCTTTAGGGAGAGATGAAAATAGTAAAAAGTCAAATGCTAAAAAAGTAATAAAGTAGATAAAAGGCTCTTAGTGATAAAACCCTGTAAATTATATGTTTAAGTGGACATCATTCCATAAATGACTAATTTATCTACTGGATTCCTCAAATTCTTGAAATTTGTTTTCTGTCTATATAGTCTATGCAAGAAGACTTGTTGGCATTGTAGTGATCTTATTGTTATTGGGAAAAGTACAACAACCACTTATTGTCCCTTATTAAAAGCAATTATAAAGTTTAAGATTGTGTGTTGAAAGCAAACAGTCTTATTTCATGTCATCCTCTAGAACCCTGTAGTGCTGGTTATGTTTTTGGTTGATCTTTGCTGTCACGAATGTGAATCATGTAAAAATAAAAAGTAATCTCATAGACGTGCATGGTCAGAATTTTTCATTGGCATTTACTTTCTATTTTAAAGTAAACAAGTCTTTTGTTTTTGAACATTAGCAATACACGTGATTGGAGATACCTGCTTGTAGTTATTTGTTTTGACCTAGTTCTGCCTCAGAATGCTTAGCTCATTAGGCATACAGGAACATTCTTTTTCTTGTTCCCAGCTCTCAGGGTAATTTGGTATTGTAATGAGGGCCAATTACATAGTCACCATAGGTGTCTGTGTTTACCGTGGCTGAATTACCAAAGCTAAATGAGAAATAGATAACTGCCAGTTTGAGTGAAAAAGAGTTTAAAGCGTGATAACACTTCAATTGACAGACTGCGCTCAGGGTTGTGTTACACCGCTTAAAACGATGAGCTTTTCTGGTTTTGCTATCAGCCCTCGCAGGAGTGTCATTCTAAGTGCCCTTGAAGTGTAAACTTTCTGATTTTTTGGCTTGATCCAAAGGCACATGTGTTTTTGTTCACTGTTTCTTTTTCTAAAGTTCTCTTATACTGGAAAAGCAGGGGATTTATTCTCTTAAAAGTTAATTTTGTTTCAGTTAAGAAAAAAATCAGCCCCAGAAATAGTTCTAGAAAAGTTATTTTAGATATAGACAAATACCTGTTTTTGTTAAGATGAAATTTAACAGTTTTTAATCACAGGCTCTGAAGGCACCTACCTTCATACTAAATGTCTACTAAGAAAATATTTAGAAATGTGTGCACAAATGCTCTTTGCAGCACTATTTATAAAGCAGAAATTAGTGACAGTCTTAAATGCTCAATAATAATGAAACAGGTTCTTCAACTGTGGCATCAGTTCAATGTACACATGTGGACAACAGTGAAAAATACTTAGTGATACGAGAAAATATTTCTTATAGGAGTTTTACTAAAATAGGCAGAGAGAAAAAAAATAATCCTAGTTTTGTGAGAAGTGATTATTGTGGCTAGATTATTAATAATCCTCAATGCTTGGGGAGAATTTTTTTTATTCTCATTACTTTAATTCTAGGTTACATTGTAAAGACATCAATACATATGTACTACATACATGTAGATGATATATGAAGTGAAACATATCAAAATGTTAATAACACATTTTTTGTGATGGAATTATAATATAGGCTTTTTCCCCCTTGATACTCTTACGTATTTTCCAAATATTTGGAGTGAACACTCTTTATTTTTTCCCTTGGGACATTCCTTCCTCTCCTTCATTTCTCCTCTCCCTCTTTTCTTTCTTTCTCTTTCTTTCTTTCTTTCTTTCTTTCTTTCTTTCTTTCTTTCTTTCTTTCTACATATTTAGATTTGATTAAGTAATATTGTCTCATGTCTCAACTTGAAAGGTACAAAAGTGTCTGAGAAAAATCTCTCCAACTCCTGTCACTAAGTCACTAGGAATCTCATCTTTGAAAGCAACTAGTGATGCCATTGCTCTTGTGTATCCTTGCAGAAATATTTTTACCTAATATCACTTTAATCAGAACAAAGCCAAAACAAACATAATCTTAAAAATGTATTTCTCAAATTGATTTGGGGTATCTGGAGCTATACTAATCTGAAGCTCTACTGAGTCAACTAATATAGTGTCTTTTAAAAGGTTGAGATTGTCGATATGGTATAATGTGTCTCCTCTATAAAATCTTTGCTTTCTGTCATGAATGTTCCTAAAATTCTGAGATAAACTGGTTTTATTTCTTCTTTTCCAGTATGGATTCACATTTCAGTTATGCATATTTGTTTTTAGGGAAAGTCCTGCTATTTTTATCACGGTGTTCATAAAATTAGTGGTCAACAAACATTCCAGACCCTGCAAGGGATGTGCAAGGCCTGGGATATAGAAGAGCTCGTCAGCTTGGGCAAAAAACTAAAGGCATGTCCGTATTACACAGCGCGAGAGCTAATAGAAGATGCCAATATAATATTTTGTCCCTACAACTATCTTCTAGATGCACAAATAAGGGAAAGTGTGAGTACATACATAAAAATTAGAACTTTTTTCCTACTAATTGGGATATGAAGATGAATGTAAAAGCTTTTAGATGTTTTCATGTCTTTTACTTTACTTTTTGTTTTATAGTTAACTTATATAAGTGCATAAACAGATTAGAATACTGAAACCATTCTAAGGTGTAATAAAAACTGAATTTTAGACCTTGTCACTTTAATTCCCAACGTAATAACTATTGTACTTTTAAGGACCTAGTACTGAAGTAGGGTTTAGGAAGGATTTTCGTAACCTTGGTAAGTGATGACATTTTGGGCTGGATAATTCTTTGTTGTGATGGGTTAACTTGTGCATTGGTAGTAACAGCATCCTAACCCACTCGATGCCACCAGTACCTTCATGTTGTAACAGTCAAAAATGTCTCCAGACTTTGCCAAATATACCTGGGGAAGCAAAGTTGCCCCCAGCTGAGACCCATTAATAGCTGTCACCCTTTTCATTTATGAATAGTCAGAAAGAATTATTTTATTTTATTTTTTTGAAAATTTTATTTACTTATTTTTAGAGAATGGGATGGGAGGGAGAGAGAGAGAGAAATAGCAGTGTGTGGTTGCCTCTCACATCCCCTACTGGAGACCTGACCCAAAACCCAGACCGGTGCCCTAACTGGGAATTGAACCAGTGACCCTTTGGTTTGCAGGCCGGCACTCAGCCCACTAAGCCACACCATCCAGGGCAAAAGAATTATTTTAAAACATTTATCTGAAGACTCTGCTTCGAAGAAGTTATTTTGGGAGAATATGCAGACTGCAAATTATGCTTTCTGAGCTTCTGAGAAGTGAACTTTGTATACAGCATTTGTGTTTATTTGCCTGGTTTTTCTTAGAAACATCTAGTTGTTACAGTATAAGACCAAAAAAAGTGAATAACTTGGTATATTTAATTGTTATTTCTCTCTTTATATCTGACTGCAAAACTTTCATTAGCTATCTTCTTAAGTTTGAAATTAATTAATAGACATTGTTCACTATCTCTACTGTCCTACCTCTTAATTGGTTATCTCTTAGCTAGGTCTGTTTCTTGAGTGATACAGATCAATGACAGATCAGTCTTTTAATATTACTTTATTAATCTTTCCTCTGCATAAAAATCTCTTACTGCCCTTTGCTCATGGGGAAAAGTCTATATTTCTTAAGCTTACTTCAAGTTGCTCAGTAGTCCGACCTGAATCTACCCTTTCAGCCTTCTCTGTTGCAAAAGCCCTATTGGAACCCCTCACACATTACCTCCTGGTTCTTTCCCTTATCTCTGATTTTGATGGCACTTGTGTTGAAATGCCCTCCTCTCTGTCTATCCAAATGCAAATCCTATTCCTCTTTAAACCCTGCTGTATTCCCAGCTCCCTCCCGGTTCTTCCTTGGTCATCGTCAACCCTCCATGTAGTGTTATTTCCTCAGAGTAACTCATTGACAGTGGCTTTGCAATATTTCTTAAGTCAGGACTCTCCCAATTGCAAGTAACACGAACTCAGCTTCAGCAGAGCTTAAGAAAAACTACTAACTCAGTGTTGTGATGGCTTTATGCTCAAGGCAGATTCTTTCCATTGGGAACAAAGATAAGGAAAGGTAGTTAGCTAACCTGGAAAAAATTCTTGATCTTCTATTAGTCACTCCAGACTACCCCGACTGTCCTAGTTTGGGTCTCATATCCACTCTTGAACTAGTGGCTGTGACAACGGAGGGATGGATACTTGATTTAATTGACACGCCTGGCCTCTGAGTCTGCCCGTGTAGTAAGAGTGGAGATGTCCTTGATGAATAGACTAACAGTCCTGCCAACATCACATGGAGGTTGGGGAAGAGCACTGGTCAGAGTGAAGTGTTGCAGGAGAGACTAAACGAAAGATACATATCATATTACAATAATATTTTGAGAGTCTTTTGAATTTTGTATTGTTACTTTAGTTCTAAAGGTTTTTTTACTCTGCCTTTTAAATGATGTTGGAGATTCCTTTATAGTGGGATTTGTATACTCCTTTGTGTAGCCAGCTGTACTTTGATCCTGTTTCACTTAACACATTATTTTGGTTGTAATAAGTTTGTAAAGTATTTTGAGAATGAAATGTGGTAAACTCTATAATGTTGAGCTGACATTTGGTTGGCTTTAGTACTTTCGAAGTCTTAAGACCTAAAAATCAGTTGCTTATGTAATTGCACTTGCAATATTGGCCTATAGTATGATTTTTAAAAATGAAATATGTCTACTGCTCTTAAATCCATTTTTTTCTGAAAGTTTTACAGGAAATTTTTTTAATCTTATAGATGGATATCAATCTGAAGGAACAGGTTGTTATTTTGGATGAAGCTCATAACATTGAGGACTGTGCCCGGGAGTCAGCAAGTTACAGCATAACGGAAGTCCAGCTGCGGTTTGCTCGGGACGAACTGGATAGTATGGTCAACAGTAACATAAGGAAGAAAGACCATGCGCCCCTACAGGCTGTGTGCTGCAGCCTCATTAAGTAAGAACCTTTGTCTGTCAGTGTCATTTGTGCTGCCTTAGAATTAAAAACGTGTTGTTATGCCAGAGTATTTGCAGTCAGTAAACTGACCAGGCACTTTGGAAATGGATTGTTCCTTGCCAGTTAAACTTTTAAAAATTGGCTAGTCCAAACTTTTGTCTTATTCAAAAGAATATAATGGACAGAATCAATCTTTTAAATTGATAATTTCGAATCTTAATCCTAATTTAACAGGATAGCTACTTTAACTTCCCCATTGGCTATGTATAAGACTTTGGGCTGAACATAAACTAATGGTTTCATTTAACATTTTAAAATTCTGGATCATGGCTTTAATTAATCTCTTTATCCTCCATTTGGAGTAGGATTTTGGTTTAATGAGTTTCAACTAATCAAGATTTTAATACTGTAAAATCATATTTAGTAGGAATTTTATTAAAATTTATAATCTATAAAAATAATGATAAAATAAAATTTGCATTGAATAATTTCTCTTCCATTAGACATTAGGTTTTTTATCTGTTTATCTTAGAGAAAACCCTCCCCTGACTCTAACTCCCATTTCATATACTGCAGCATCTTTTGTTCCCTGTACAGTATACTTTTAAAAACACTTGAAAGTTATACCGTCACCTGTTTGAACAGAAGAGGTATACACAGATTTATATTGTAATGACCTTCTCACCCCATCCTCCGTACGCCTAGTTCTTGACCTCCTGCACAAGTTTATCATTCAGTGCATGTTTATGCGTATATGAGTCAAGGTAGATACTTGCTCTTTTCCCTTCTTTTTTATCCAAATGATTACATACTATATATACATTTTTTGTCTTCCCCATTTTAAACATAAAAATACATTTTGTGTTTTTTAAACCCATTTTACTTAGGTATAATTGACATACACAGTGCTGTAAATATTTAATGTATACACCTCAATGAATTTGTAGATAAGTATACATCCCTGAAACTATGCCATAAACACACCCCTCGCCTCTGGAAGTTTCTTTCTGCACAGTGACAAAATTACCTATGGACACATTTCTCAGAATGTATCCCTGTCACTAAGTGACACATGCCTGTATAAGACACCCAGCTGGTGTCTCGAATTGCTTGGTGTAAGGAGAAAACCCCCACATTTAGTGACCAGAGGTGTCAGAAATGAAGTAGTCAGAGTAGAGGAGACATACAGGAACGTTTTTTCTAGACAGCTTCTATGACATCTTCTGGTTTTCCTCCTCCTCACAACTTACTCTTTCTCATTTTTTTGATAGTGCTTATTTTGTTTGCTGTCTAAACGTTGACATGCCTCGAAACTTGTCCTAGGACCTCATTTCATTCCTAGCTCTGCTCTTGCCCTGAGTTACACGTGCCGTAGCAGTACTGCTGAGGCCTGAACCTGTCTAGCCCCATCCTGTCCCCGGAATGCTATTTTCATATATCCAACTCTATATCTTCATTTGGTTATCAAATTTCAGCTTTCCAAAACAAAACTTACTCCCTTCCCCTACCTACTCTTCCTGTCTTTCTTGTCTAAGGAAACAGTACTAACCAGTTCCTCAAATCAAAACTTTAAGTGTTATTCTTGATGACTGCCCCACCTCATTCAATTTATCAGTAAGGTTTGTAAATGCCACCTGCGCAATGTATCCGAAATCCTTCAATTTCATATTTTCCACCCCACAATCACTTCTCAACTAGAACACTGTAACAGCCTCCTAATAGGTCTCTGCTTTCACTCTTGCCTTTCTCCTGTAACCCATTCTGAGTTCGAAGCTGGAATCATCTTTTAAACACCTAAAATAGTTGGTCTCTCTCTTATTTACAGTCCTCCATTTAAAACCTTCCCATTGTACTTTGAATAGAATTCAAATTTCTTATCCTGGCCGAATAGGATCTAATTTTTGCTTATCACTCTAACATATATACCTGTATTCCTTTTTGCCCATTGTGCTGCAGCTGCATTGACTTTCTCTCAGGTCCTTCAGTGAGAATAATTTGTTGATAACCACCTTGGGATCTTTGCATGATTTTTTCTGATCCTCCCATGACTGGGTGCATTTTGCCTTCATCTGTTAAAATAAATGTCACCTTAGGAAGGCTTTCTTGGTACTCAAATTAAAGTAGCAATTAGATTACATTAACCTAATATACCTCTTATTACTACCTGATATTTTCTTGTTTATATATTTGTTTCTAAATTTCTTTCTTTCTCCCTTTAGTGTAATGTAATTTTCATGATAATAAGGACCTTGTCTATTTTATTTACTGCTGTATTTCTATGACCTAGTATAGTGTCTGGCATAATAATAGACATTTAAGCCCTTATTGAATGTACACGCATATATATATTAATGAATATATATATCTCCGTCACTCTCTTTTTTGTGTCAATATGTAAATGTAATTTATATTAGGTTGTTTTGTATTTCCTTTTAGCATTTGGGATGAGCCCTAAAATAAAGCTTTTTTCTGGAGACAGTCAAGTAAAGCAGTGTGAATGCACAAAACACAACTGGGAAATGACATGCATGTTTTTCTTTTCTGAATAAAAACTTGCTTTTTAGCTATGTAAATGGTTTGGGGTTTTTGGTTTTTTTGTGTGTGTGTGCAAATCGAGATATGCATGCTTTAAAAAATGTATCTTAATCCACTTTTGTGTACTAAGAGCTTCAAGGAATACAGACTTAATGTATCTCAATTCTCTGTTTTATGAAAATGGTCCATGTAGGACAATACTGGATGATGGAATTGTTTTATTTTTATTCCAGTTGGTTAGAGGCAAACTCTGAACATCTTGTGGAACGAGATTATGAATCATCCTGTAAAATATGGAGTGGAAGTGAAATGCTCTTAGATTTACATAAAATGGGTATCACCACTGCTACTTTTCCCATTTTGCAGGTAAGACTTTTTTCCCACCTGTGGAATAAGTGAATAAGTTTATCTAGAGTAAAAAAAAATAGCAGCCCTGGCTGGTGTAGGTCGGTGGATTGAGCACGGGCCTGTGAACCAGAGGATTGTGGTTCAATTCCCAGTCAGGGCACATGCCTGGGGTGCAGGCCAGTTCCCAGCAGGGGACCCATGAGAGGCAACCATACATTGATATTTCTCTCCCGTTCTCCTTCTCTTCCCCTCTAAAGATAAATAAATAAAATACTTTTTTAAAGTAGCAATTTAATTGTTTTAAAACTTTTATAATCTTGTGTGTGATGACATAAATTATGGGTGAAGAGTAGTTTGAAGGAAATAAGGCTTAAAGGAATTAATTGCTTATTCAACGATAAAAGAAGGCTGTAAACTTAGAACCTGTTTTTAGGTTGTAAGTTTATTTTGTTAGTGTAAAAGTTAAAAATTTGGGGAATAAAAGGATAAATTTATATTTTGTTCTCCTTAATTTAGAAGTCGTAAACCTGGGTGAAGGGAGATCCTGAGTGGGATATGGGGTACTGTGAACATTGTGAAATTGTATGTAAAATTTTATGACTTTGTACTTTTGTACATTTTTCTGAATAGAAGCTTCATGACATATAATATTAGAGAGGCTCCCCCCACCCCCAGAAAAGGATGTTTTTCTTTTCATTTTTGTTCTTACTTACTTACTTATTTATTTATATATTTTTATAGATATGTTTTTAAAATATATTTTATTGATTATGCCATTACAGTTCTATTTTCCCCTTCATTCCCCTCCACCTTGTACACCCCTCCCCCACCCCCCCTTTAGTTTATGACCACGTGTCTCAAGTTCTTTAGATTCTATATTTCCCCTGCTATTCTTGCCCCCCCATCTATTTTCTATCTACTGTCTATGCTACTTATTCTCTGTACCTTCTCTCCCCTTCTCCTTCTCCCACTCCCCTGTTGCTAACCCTCCATGTGATCTTCATTTCTATGGTTCACTCCTGATCTAGCTGTCCTCTTAGTTTGCTTTCGTTTTAGGTGTGGTTCTTAATAACTGTGAGTTTGCTGTCGTTTCACTGTTCATCTTTTTTATCTTCTTTTTCTTAGGTAAGTCCCTTTAACATTTCATATAATAAAGGCTTGGTGATGATGAACTCCTTGAACTTGACCTTATCTGAGAAGCACTTTATCTGTCCTTCCATTCTAAATGAAAGCTTTGCTGGATAGAGCAATCTTGGTTGTAGGTCTTTGGATTTCATGACTTGGAATACCTCTTTCCAGCCCCTTCTTGCCTGTAAGGTCTCTTTTGAGAAATCTGCTGACAGTCTGATGGGAACTCCTTTGTAGGTGACTGTCCCCTTATCTCTTGCTGCTTCTAGGATTCTCTCCTTCATTTTAATCCTGGCTAATGTAATGATGATGTGCCTTGGTGTGTTTCTTCTTGGGTCCAACTTCTTTGGGACTCTGAGCTTCCTGGATTTCCTGGAAATCTATTTCCTTTGCCAGAATGGGGAGGTTCTCTTTTATTATTTGTTCAAATAAGGTTTCCACTCATGACTGTTCCTCTTCCCCTTCTGGTACCCCTATAATTCGGATGTTGGAATGTTTAAAGATGTCCTGGAGGTTCCTTAGCCTCTCCTCATTTTTTTGAATTCTTGTTTCTTCCTATTTTTCTGTTTGGTTATTTTTTTTCTTTCTTCTGGTCCACTCCTTTGATTTAAGTCCCAGTTTCCTTTCCATCACTATTGGTTTCCTGCACATTTCCCTTCATTTCAATTAGTTCAGCCTTCATGTGTTCCTCTAATTTGTGGCTAAAATCAACCAGTTCTGTGAGCATCCTGATCACCAGTGTTTTGAACTGTGCCTCTGATAGATTGGCAATTTCTTGTTCGCTTAGATTTATCGGCTCTGGGGCTCTGAGTTCTTCTTGAGCCATGTTTTGATCTGTTCGTGCCTGTTACGTAGGAGGAGAGGAACCTTAGTTGTTCACCAGAGCGGGGCCACCCAGGTCTCTGGGTTGTGATGCTGTATGTGGGGGTGGGATCAAAGAGGGACAATAGCGGTCCCCTCTGCTCCTTCCCACCTCTGGGGCCTGCTGGGTCTGTCTCACTGCTCGCTCCTTCGGTGGTTTATTTGTGCACAAACCTGTGACCCCTTTCAGCCAGCCACCTTGCGCCTTCACTGGGTCTGCCCTCGCTACCCTATACCTGGGATTCACCCTTGGCTGCCTGGGTCGGGGGATCTTTTTTTGCCTGACCAGCTCCACTGCTGGCCCCGCCCCTCTTACCGGTCTAGCTGAGTGGTTTGTTGTTGTCAGACTCCCGTGTTATTCGATTTTCTGTGCTTTGGCTGTGTTTATTGTTTCTAAAACGTTGTTGTTTTTAGATTTGGTTGTGCGAGAAGGTAAAGTGTTTCCACCTACGCCTTCATCTTGGCAGAAGTCCTCCTTATTTATTTAAATTAAAACACTTTACATTTTAGAGTGGTTATTGTAGGTTTACAGAAAAATTTAGCAGAAAGGACATTACTCATACACCAGTCCTCCCCAAACCCCACCCTCTATTAACAGATGTTACTATTTCTCCTATTAACATCATGCAGTAGTATAGTGCATTGATACAATTGAACCAATATTGCTACATTACTATTAACTAAAGCCTATAGTTTATACTCTTTGTGTTGTACAGTTCTGTGAGTTTTGATTAAAAAAAAACATAGTCATGTATCTACCAATACAATATCATACAGAATTTTTTCACTGTGTTAAAAATATTTTGTGCTGTACTTACTCATTCCTTCACTATATCTCACTTCCCTTGCTGAAACTCCCCTGGCAACCTCTGGGTTTTGTTTTTTTTTAATGCTGACTTCATATTGTACCTTTTCCAGAGTGTTGTGCATTTGAAATCATACAGTATGTGGTCTTTACCGACTGGTTTCTTTCACTGAGCAGTATGCATTTAAGGTTCCTCCATGTCTTTTTGTGGCTGATAGCTTGTTTCTTTTTCTTATATTGTCTATACCACAGCTGTTCATCCATTCTACTACTAAAGGACATATTAGTGGTTTCCAAGTTTTGGCAGTTATGAATAAAGCTACTGTAAACATTTTTGTACCTTTTTTTTGTGGACATGCTTACTTCTCATTAGGGTAAACAAGAGCATGTTTGCTGGATTATACAGTAAGAGTACATTTAGCTTTGCAAGAAACTGCTGCTGTCTTCTTCCAAAGTGGCTGCACCATTCATTTTATATTCCCAAGAGCAGCGAATGCAAGTTCCTGTTGTTCCTTTCAGATCTTTTGCCTACCTTTCAATTGACTAGTTTGTTTTCTTACTGAGTTCTAAGAGTTCTTTGTACATTTTGTATATAAGTCCTTCTTCACATGTGTGTTGCAAATATATTCTCCCAGCCTGTGGCTTGTCTTTTTATTTTATTAACGACATCCTTCATGGAGCATACGTTTTTCGTTTTCATTAAGTTCAACTTACCAATTTTTTTTCCCTTTGGATCATGATTTTGGTATTGCATCTAAAAACTCACCACCAAACCTAAAGTCACCTAGATTTTCTTCTGTCTTTTCTTGTAGAAGTTTCATAGTTTTGCATTTTATATTTAAGTCTGTAATCCATTTTGAGTTAATTTTTGTGAAGGATATAAGGTCTTTGTCTAGATTCATTTCTTTGCATATGGGTGTTCAGTTCTTCCAGCACCATTTGTGGAAAAGACTAATTTTGATCCATTTTATTGTTTTTGCTTCTTTATTGAAAATCAGTTAGTATTTATGTGGATATGTTTCTGGGCTCCCTGTTCTTTTCTCTGTGGAACCTGGAAACGAGGAACAGATCTTTCTGTTCCTTCCCCAACACCTCTCTGTCTTACTTACTGTACTTGATAGTAAGTCTTGAAGTTGGGGACTGTCAGCCCCCTGACTTTGTCCTTCAATAATTGTGTTGGCTCTCTGGGTCTTCTGTCTTTCTATATAAACTTTGATTAGTTTGTCAGTATCCACAAAATAAATTGCTTGGATTTTGATTGGGATTTTATTGAACCTATAGATCAAGCTGGGAAGAACTGACATCTGAATGATACCGAATTTTTTTATCCATGAACATGGAGTATCTCTCCATTTATTTAGATTTTCTTTAATTTTTTAAATTAGCATTTTATAGTTTCCCTTACTGATTTAAAGAAGTTTTTGAATCCAGGAAGGTAACAACTATTGACAACATGATCACTGCTAGCATTTTCGGCATATGAGTAATTCAAAAAATATTTTAATCATACTATACTTAAAATTTTCCCCTGCATTTAAAAAGTACAATATAGTATTATAAGTGTTTTTCCATATTGTGACATCTCTTTTTTTAATCCTTACTCAAGGACATTTGCTTTTTATTTGAGAAAGAGAAAGAGAGGAAGAGAGAGAAAGAAAGGGAGAGAGACGTTTGCTTTTTTTGAGAGAGAGGGAGAGAAAAACATCAGTGTAAGAGAAGTGTTGGTTGGTTACCTTTGTAAGTACCCAGACTGGGGATCCATGCTGGGACCCGGGGTCACATCTGGACCAGAGGTCGCATGCACATGTGCCTGGACCGGGAATGAACCTACAACCTAGGAATAAGTCCTGACCAGGAATCAGACCGAATATCTTCGGTTATAGGACAGTGCTCCAACTACTGAGCCACACTGGCCAGGGCACTATTGTGACATCTTTTTATGATTTTTTTGGCATAAAAGTTTGCATTTTAAAGGTTATATATATTAACAGTAAAATAGATAAGTTAATTGTAGGATATTCACATAGTAGACTACTACATTGCAATTAAAAAACGAACCACTGCTGCCACAAGCGTATGAGTGAATCTTACAGGCATACTGTTGAATAAAAGGAACCAGACAGGAAGAGTACAAACTGACCCTGACTGATGTGGCTCAGTTGGTTGGATGTCATCCTGCAAAGCAAAAGGTCTCCAGTTCCATGCCCAGTTAGGGCACATGCCTAGGTTGCAGGGTCAGTCAGCGGTTGGGGCATGTGTAAGAGGCAACCGATCAATGTTTCTCTCTCACATCCATATTTCCTCCACTCTTTTTCTCCCTCCCTCCCCCTCTCTCTATAAATAAATAGATAGTATAAACTGTATGATTTCATTCTGATGAGATTCAAGAACAGATGAACATAATTACACTAATAGAAATCAGAATGACGGTTACCACCATGTAGAGTAAAGGAGCAGTGTGGGCTGAGAAGGGGTGAAGGGAAACCATCTGGGATCAAGGACTGTTTTGTATCCTGAATGAGTGTTAGTTACGAGTGTGTGTGTGTGTGTGTGTGTGTGTGTGTGTGTGTGTTTAGTGGACTGTGTATACAAAATTAGGGCACTCTATATATTATTCTTGAATTAATGCACAAATATATGTCAAGAAAAATATTTGGAAAAATACAGAAAGGTACAAAAGAAAAAATATTCAGCTTAAAGATGATTATTATTTTGGGTTTATGTCTACCTATGCTTTCTTCTGTGCATATACTAGCTTAGTGTAAATATATTTCCAATATGTACATTTTTACTTGTAGCCTCTTCTCATTAACAATAAATTATGAGTACTGTTTTTTACTGAATAGCCCATCATTTCCCTCTGTGTGTAATACCATTTCTGTCGCATATGTAATTTTCATTCATGTGTGAATTTATTTCTGGACTCTATCCTATAAATCTGTTTGTCTACACTGTCATATTTGTTAATACTGTTAGAAAAATGCTAATATCTTCTAGGGCATATATTCTCTCTTTGTTCTTTTCCTTTGGGATCATCTTGGCTATTCTTAGCCTTACTCTGTTATTTGAATTTTAGAATTAGGTTTGGGTATTCTTTTAATTTTTCTTATACTATAAGTCATTATTGTAAGCATCAGAGTACTCTGAAAATAATTCAGTGATTTAGGTGGCATATCCACTCTTTTAAGTTCCTTGGGGAAACCATTTGGTAAGTACATTTTTATGTAGTTGATTACTTTTGAGGGGCACTAAATAATACCCTAATTGACTGAAGAAGTGAATGTATAATTTTATTAAAGGTCTTTGAAGAGAATTTGGGACCATGTGGGAATCTATAGCATATTGTTAGTACTTGTGTATTAGTAATGTTTGCCTATAATTTCAATGTATATTTTATTTGTGTTTCATTGTAGTTTTGAAAAGTTTGTTTTACTCCTTCACCCCTCCCCCCAGTGTATTTATTATTATAATTTCCTATAGGGACATTTGTCTGCTGTCCTTCAAAAAGAAGAAAAGGTCTCATCAATTTTTGGTAAAGAAGAGGCAATAGAAGTGCCTATTATTAGTGCTTCAACTCAAGTAATGCTCAAAGGACTTTTTATGGTACTTGACTATCTTTTTAGGCAAAATAGCAGGTAAATGAAGATATCTAATCTGTATATTTTCTCTTCAAAATATTAGCTTTATTGAGTGTTAGCACGTGTTTAGCGCATTATGAGTACATAGGATAATCATAAACTAGTCATATATTTTATTGGCACAGATTCAGATTAATTGAAATTAGTCTTTATTAATGGAAATGAATATTGAAATCAGTAAATATACTAAGGCACATTTAAATGTATAGTCCTCTAGGACTAAACTTAAGCATTTATGTTTTTTCTTAAATATAGTTTACATATGTTTCTTCCAGTGTTAGAAAGTCTTTTTCTTATTGCCTGAAGCCTCTATTTAGTGGATTGTAGAAAATGAAAAGCAGTCACCTTCCCCCACACTACCCCTTGTTAAGTTAGGGTGCTGCATGGTTCCAGTATTTTTGCTTTTTTAAATTGTGGTAATATGTGTAAAACATAAATTTATCCTTCTAGCCATTTTTAAGTGTACATTTCAGTAGCATTCAGTAGATCCACATGGACATAACCAAGGGGAGGTGGAATCAGGGGAGGGAGGTGGGGTTGTCTGCGGCGGAGGTGGGAGTGGTGGTGGGGAAATACAGACAACCGTACTTGAACAACAATAAAATTTAAAAAAAGAAATAGAAGATCAAAAACTATGAACAGTAAAATGACAACAAACTCACAACTACCAACAACTGAACTTAAAAAGCAGAAACAAAAACTAACCAAACAACTAGAACAGGAACAGAATCACAGAAATGGAGGTCCTATGGAGAGTTATCAGTGGGGAGGGGAAGAGGGAGAATAGGTGGGGGAAATGTACAGGGAATAAGAAGCAAAATAGGTACCAAATAGAACAGAGGTTAAGAATAATACAAGAAATGGAGAAGCCAAAGAGCTTATATGAACAACCCATGGACATGAACTAAGGTGTGGGCAGAGTGCAAGGATCTCTGGACTAGGTAAGAGCTGGGATGCTTGGGTTTGAATTCTGATTCTGCCATGATGTGTGTAGTATTTGAACACAGGGAGGGGCAGTGATCGAGGGTGGGTCATTCGATTATGCCTAGTCTCTGTAAGAGTGGTTGCTTCTAAGACAGTGGCTTATTTTCTGTCAGAATTACTGAATTTAATCAATAGTGGTTGTGTGGTGGGGAAAATGTTATCTTTGAGTGGGAAGATGGCAGGACTCTCACTATAGTTTTAATATTACCAGTTTATATGTTGTATGTAGCTGGGACATTTTTTGTTTTATTAGTTATGCCATTTAATTACTATTTTACTTTCATTTAGGTTTGCAGATGATTATAAAGTTGCTATTCAACAGACTTATACTTGGATAAATCTCACTGATACTTCAGATAAAAATGGGTTGTTTGCGGTACCAAAAAATAAGAAACGTTCACGACAGAAAACTGCAGTTCATGTGCTAAACTTTTGGTGCTTAAATCCAGCTGTGGTAAGCTGATCGTTACACATAAAAATTCTGTCTTCTAACTCAATACAAACAATTAAATAAACATGTTCTACTTCTTTAAAGATTTTATATATCAAATGTTGTTTCCTTCTAGGCCTTTTCGGATATTAATGGCAAAGTGTGGGCGATTGTTTTGACATCTGGGACATTATCACCAATGAAATCCTTTTCATCAGAACTTGGTGTTACATTTACTATCCAACTGGAAGCTAATCATATCATTAATAATTCACAGGTTAGGATTTTTTTAAAAGGCTTTCTGTGGTTTTTTGACCTTAGTATAATTCTACATAAACAAATTGGAAGGTACCTAAGTACTAGCAAACAGATCCTGATAGGAAATTCAACATTTCAGTTTTAGAATAAAAGAAAATCTGTTTTGATAGTGTCAACAAAAAAGAAATACTAATAAATGCATTCCTTCAACCCAGTGATTAAAAAATACACTTTGGATGCACAGACTATATTACAATTTCCTAATTTAAATGTTTTACTGTTTTTAAGCGAAAATTAAAAACAAAACAAAATTCAGTTTCTGTATTATAGTTCCTATTGTTTAACGATTTGTTCATGTGTTTCTCTTTTTCATTAGACTATAGTATAACCTTTTTCTTCTCTTTATGTCCACATTTTCCCACAGCACCTACAGTCATATCTGGCATTAGTTAGCAGTTGTTCAGCTCTTGTCTGACAACTGAAATGAATTAGAAGTACTCTTATGAGTCCTGTGACTTAAGATTTTAATTTTTATAACAATACCATATAAATGTTATTTTAGTTTTGCTAGGAATGCTTTAATTATCATTTGTTGATCTGTCTTCTGTTTGTTTTTTTTGAAGAAGTAATTTAAAGCAGTTAGCTACGTGTTTCACACCACCTCTGTGCCTAACACTATTCTAATACTTTATGAAGATGTAGTTTTCAACCAGGGTATGTTTGTGGGGACATGTTTGTTTCTCACAGTTACTTGGGTGGTGCTACTGGCATTTAGTAGTTGAGAGCCTGAATAAGCTTCTTTATAACTAAGAATTGTGCTTTCCCAAATGCCAGAGTGCTCCTGTTTACAAACATTGCTGTGAACTATAATGAAGGAAAAATATATGTTCCACATTTTAAAGCTGCTCTCTTTAAAGGCTCAAATAAATATAGGAAGTTATTAATAAATCATAGTATATGAGCCTATATGTTCATTCATTTGTTGATTCACCAGATTTTTATTTTAAAAATTATAAACTTTAGAAGTAGAAAACAATACTCATATCGTAAACATCTTATATCTTCACCTAGATTCATCAATTGTTAACATTTTGTGTGTGTGTGTATATACACACACACATATATGAGAGAGAGAAGAGAAATAATCCAAAGTGTTAAAAGTTACATATGTGTGCAATATATATGTAATATGTGTGTAATACACATATAGCACATTTTTTGATAAACTGTTAAAAAGTAATGTGGAAACATCATGACACCTTGCCTTTAATTAGTTTAGCACGTCTCTCCTAAGAATAAGTACATAATCTTACATAACCACAACACCGTGACCGTGCCCAACAAATTTAATATTGATAGAAGAGAGTCAATATTTCTGTTTCTCCGTTACTCTCAAAATGCCTTTTAACCTATTTATTTTTCTTATTCTTAATCCAGGGTCCAAATAAGTATTATATATTGCATTTGTTTTTTGTGCTCTTTAGTCTTTAAAATAGTTTTCTTTCCCTTTTTTCTGGTCTTTCTGACATTTTATAAAGAATTCAAGTCACCAGGTGTCTTGAGGAATGGCTTATAATCTGGATTTTTCTGGTTGTTTCCTCATGATGATTCAGGTTAAACAGTTTGGTAAGAATACTATACAGGTTGTATTGTTACTTTCATTGCATTATGTCAGGAAACAGTATCAGTTTTTCATATTGCTAGTTGACATTTAAGTAGAAGTTGGTTAATATGGTATTCATTACATGTCATCTTGCAAAATGTACTTCAATCTCATACATCATTTTTTAGTATATTTTATTGATTATGCTATTACAGTCGTCCCATTTTTTTCTCTCATTTATCCTTCTCTGCTCTGCGCCCCCACCCACCAGCATTCCCCCACCCCTTAGTTCATATCCAAGGATCGTACATATAAGTTCTTTGGCTTCTCCATTTCCCATACTATTCTTAACCTCCCCCTGTCTATTTTCTACCTACCATTTATGCTTCTTATTTCATGTACCTTTTCCTCTATTCTTCCCCTACCCCTACCCACTGCTAACCCTCCATGTGATCTCCATTTCTGTGATTCTGTTCCTGTTCAGCTGTCTGCTTAGTTTGTTTTTGATTTTTAGGCTCAGTTGTTGATAGTTGTGAGTTTGTTGTCATTTTACTGTTCATATTTTTGATCATCTTTTTCTTAGATAAGTCCCTTTAACATTTCATATAATAAGGGCTTGGTGATGATGAATTCCTTTAACTTGACCTTAACTGGGAAGCACTTTATCTACCCTTTCATTCTAAATGATAGCTTTGCTAGATAGAGTGATCTTGGATAAAGGTCCTTGCCTTTCATTATCTGGAATACTTTTTTCCAGTCCCTTCTTGCTTTTAAGCTTTCTATTGATAAATCAGCTGATAGTCTTATGGGAACTTCTTTGTAAGTAACTGTCTCCTTTTCTCTTGCTGCTTTCAAGATTCTCTCCTTATCTTTAATTTTAGTTAATTTAATTATGACATGTCTTGATGTGTTCCTCCTGGGGTCCAAATTTTGGGGGGCTCTCTGAACTTCCTGGACTTCTGGAAGACTGTTTCCTTTGCCAGATCAGGGAAGTTTTCTTTATTATTTTTTCAAATAAGTTTTCAGTTTTTTGCTCTTCCTCTTCTCCTTCTGGGACCCCTATGATTCAGATGTTGGGACATTTAAAGTTGTCTCAGAGGTTCCTAAGCTTCTTATTTTTTTGAATTCGTGTTTATTCTATTCTGGTTGAATATTTATTTCTTTGTTCTGTTCCAAATCATTCATTTGAGTCCCAGTTTCCTTCCCTTCACTGCTGTTTCCCTGTATATTTTTCTTTATTTCACTTTGCAAAGCCTTCACATCTTCCTCTATTTTGCGTCTGTACTCATTTGTTTCTGTGAGCATCCTGAATACCAGTGTTTTGAACTCTGCATCTGATAGGTTGGCTATCTCCTTGTCACTTTGTTCTTTTTCTGGAGTTTTGATTTGTTATTTCATGTGGGCCATATTTCTTTGTTTCGGGGTGCCTGTTACATTGTAAGGGGTGGAGCCTTAAGTATTCACTGGGGTGGGGCAACCCAAGTTTCTGAGTTGTGATGCTGTATGTGGGGGAGGAGTCAGAGAGGAAACAATGCCCCGTGCTCAACATTTGGCCTGCTTTCAGTCACTTCCCCTGTTATCCACAAGCAAATTGGGCCCTTCTGGTGCTGATTCCTGGGTGGGTGGGTTTATGTATGTTCTAGGACCTCGTGGGTCTCTCCAGCAAACTCTCCTATGAGGCTGGGAATTTCTGCCACCATCACAACACCCACAGGTTTTTATAGCCAGAGGTTTTGAGGCTTTAGTTTCCCGTGCTGGAGCCCTGGGTTGTGTGGTCTGTCTTACTCCCCATTTGTTTCTCCTTGCTTATCCGCACACAAATGTTGGACTACCTGGTCCTCCAGGCACTGCCTTGCTGCTTGTCCTCTCCGCCAGGCTGCCCATGTCCTCACCTCCTACCAGTCTGTATGAATGTTTCTTAACTCCTTGGTTGTTGGACTTCCATACAGTTTGATTTTCTGGCAGTTCTGGTTATTTTTGTTTTTAAATTTGTTGTCCTTCTTTTGGTTGTGCAAGGAAGCTAAGTTTATTTACCTATGCCTCCATCTTGGCTGGAAGCCTCATACATCATTTCAAAATACAGTACTATTATACTTTTCAGCAATCTGAAGTCTTTGTATTGCCTGTAGATTACTACTAAAGTCTGTTCTTTCTCTTGATCAAATTAACTACACTAAGATTAGAACTGTATGAGTTAAAGGAATTGCATAGAACTGTAAAATTTGGTGGGCTTGATGTTTTATGACTACAGATCACTGAGCATCAGTGAATTTGTGAAAGAGTAGTTTCTTTCCTAGTTGAGTGTTAGAAACTTGTTCATATGAGTTCATCCCAACCCTCACCTCTAATATTTTGGAACTCTTTCTAATTTATCCATTTCATTTGTCCACACCACCCAACAAAATTCTGTTACATGTTTAATCATGCAAAACTATTTAGGGAATAGAAAACTGAAACCTTTTTTGCTTTCAAAAAGGAGAATTCAATGATCTGCCTAAAAGTAAAACTTCTATAAATTAAATCTCTATATAACTATATAAAAGTAATAGAAAAAACTCCAACAATTTAGAAATAAAGTTCCTGTAAACTTGTTGTTTGATTTTCTTTTGACATGTAGGTAATTAAAGCTCCCAACTGAATCCTATTTTGCCAGCCTAGTCTAGGCATAACTCTAATACTGATACATTTCTATTCCAGGTTTGGGTTGGCACCATTGGCTCAGGCCCCAAGGGTCGGAGTCTCTGTGCTACCTTCCAGCACACAGAAACGTTCGAGTTCCAGGATGAGGTGGGAGCGCTCGTGTTGTCTGTGTGCCAGACTGTGAGCCAAGGCATTTTGTGTTTCTTGCCATCATACAAGGTAGGGAAATATTTATTTTTTTAATTTTATTATTATTATTCTTAATAGTTCATTTGGATTGTATTTTTTTCCATTGCCATTTATCACCCTTGTACCGTCTTCTACCTCTACCACCTCCCACCCCTAGCAATCACCACAGTCACATCTGTGTCCATTTCTTTTTCTTTTTTGCTTGGTTCTTCCATTCCCCAAACCCCCTACCCACCCAGACTGTCAGCATGCTCTCTATTTATGAGCCTGTCTCTGTTTTGCTTGTTAGTTCAGCTCGTTCATTATATTGCACAGATGAGTGAAATCATATGGTGCTTGTCTTTGACTAGCTTATTTCACTTAGCATAATGTTCTGCAGGTCCATCCTTGCTATCGCAGAGAAAATTTTTCTTTGTTTTTACAGTTGAGTAGTATTCCATTGTGTAAATCTACCACCGCTGTTTTATCTACTCATTACTGATAGGCACTTGACTGCTTGCAAATCTTGGCTATTTAAAATAACACTACAATGAACATAGGGACTCATATAGTCTTTTGAATTCGTGTTTTGGGTTTCTTTGGATAAATTCCCCAGAAGTGGAATTGCTGGGTCATAAGGGAGTTCCATTTTTAATTTTTTGAGGTAACTGCATACTGCTTTCCACAGTGGCTGTACCAGTCTGCATTCCTGCCATCTTTTGCCTTTAAAAAATCATGTGGGATTACCATGATGAGCTTCCTAGGGTCAGAAGCAAGGCAGGGGAATTACAGTTTTCTAAACATCATATATTGTTTTCCTTATTTATTGATTGAGGCACTGACTATTTTCTCACTGTTTTACTTGACAGTCTAAAAGACTAAAAGGTTTTTGAGCTACGTTAGTTATGTACCCTCATAAGAGGACATTGTATGCATATGGGATTTTTATTTTTAGGGGCAACTTGATATTCTCATAGTTTAAGAGAAAAGGAGCATTCTTTCTTACTATCATAAATTTGCACTTTTGAAAGTTTCAGTAATCTGAATCTTTTTTTTTTGCCTGTGTACTTCATGTGTCTGGCTAGAAAAAATTATTTTTTCTTGTTTTTAGACTCACTCTGATTCTTAATATTTTCTTCAGTTAAGTTGAGTTATATCATATATTTCAGTCCTAATATTCAAAGAATTAAGACCACATATAATTTCTGAGAATAATATATTTAGCAAAATCAAAGCTAAGCCCTGGCTCACGTGGCTCAGTGGATTGAGTATCAGTCTGCGAACCAAAGGGTCACTGGTTTGATTCCCAGTTGGGACACATGCCTGGGTTGTGGGTCAGGTGCCCAGGAAGGGTTGTTTGAGAGGCACCCACACATTGATATTTCTCTTCCTCTCTTTCTACCTCTCTTCCCCTTTCTCTAAAAATAAATAGATAAAATCTTTAATAAAAAAAATCAAAGTTGAATCCTAATGTAGAGAAGTGGCTATTTTTTTCCCATATAAAGTTTTATATACATATATATATATGTACACACACACATATATACATATACACACACACACACACATATATATATATGTATATTAGAACAGTAGGATAAGCAATAGATTTGAATGCAGATACTGGTTTTAGCTTTTCTGCTGCCTCTCCATCTGTATACATACTGCTGTGGTCTGTGTGTGTCCCCCCAAATTTTATGCTGACGTCCTAATCCCAAAGATGATGACCCTAGGTGGTGGGGCCTTTTGGAGGTGCTTACGTTATGAGAAAAAAAAATCCTTATGAATAAGGTTAATGTCCTATAAAAGAGGCTCCAGACAGGTCCCTTGTCCCTTCCACCATGTGAGGACACAGTAAGAAGGCACCAGCTATGAAGGAGGAAGAGGGCCCTCACCAAACGTGACCAACACTAGTGTCTTGATCTTAGACTTTCCAGCCTCCAGAACTGTAAGCAATAAATTTCTGTTGTTTACAAGCTCCCCAGTCAGGAGTATTTTGTTATAGCAGCCTGAAGGGGGCTAAGAGACATAATTTGTTAGCTGGAGATGCAGTAATTAGTCCTCCTGTAGATAAACTAAAGGAATTGCTTTTAGAAGCAATCAGATTTTTAAATTAGAATTTCTGAAAATAAAATAGACATAAACATCTTAAAAATTCTTAATAGAAAGCAGTATTTATTCCTGAGTGTGAACATCTACACTCAATAGTTATATTAAGGAAAACCAATAATAAAGCCTGTAACTAAAGTAAAGCAAAATCTCAACACATTAATAAAACCTTTTATATTTTCCAATCACAGTTGTAAAAAGTGAGCCAGGAAATGCCCAGTTGAGTAAATGAACAATTTCATTTTTTTGCTAGGCTTCAAAGACATGGTAAGAATGATTCTTTATATGCAAGGAACCAGCTTGGTATGTTTTTTTCTCAGTATGTACAAAGGAGAACCAAATCTTATGTAAGGTATTTAAATGGACAATAATGTAATTGTCAGTGAAAAAGTTCCAGTTGAAAAGAAAAGTTACAGGCTGTTGAACAACACACCATACCTTCTGGTAACAGCGCTCTCAAGTGATTTAATTTTCATGAGCTGGTTTAGTAGTTTAAAACATTCTAATTATTGACATTTTGAGGTGAAATACTATCACTTGATAGAAGGAAAGTAATACTCTACAAATAAATGGAATGTCACCTCCTAATTTAATTTTTTTGGAACAGATAGTAGCACAGTATTAATTTTATAGTTGTTGAAATTGACTATTGCTTATTGGGTGACTTTAGAGACTGTGACATTTAAATATACTTTTTTACAGATTTTTAGTATATTGCTTGGATATTAACTCTATAATACATACAAAAGTTTTCCCAGTTTTTCACTTATTGAATTCATAATTGTAATTTTTGAAGCTTTTGTTATCAAATTGATTCCCATACATAACTAAATAATAATAAAATGATTATAGTGATAAACAGTGATTCCCTGCCTCACTCTTCCTCCTTCCCAGTCCCACACCTCAGAGGCTCCTCAGATCTTTGATCTGTTCCTCTCATTATTTATTTTTATTGTGGTAAAATATGCATAACGTAAAATTTATTGTTTAAATCGTTTTTTAATCCTCACCCAAACTTTTGTGTTTTATTGATTATTAGAGAGAGAGAGGAAAAGGGAAGGAGGAAGTGGGAGAGACAGAGAGAGAGGAGAGAAATATTGATGTGAAGGAGAAACATAAATGTGAGAGAGAAACTGACCCATCAGTGGATCAGTTACCTCCCACATGTGCCCTGACTGGTGATTGAACCTGCAGCCTAGGTATGTGCCCTGACTGGAAATCAAACTCAAAACCTTTTGGTGTAAGAGACGATGCTCTAACTAATTGAACCACTTGGCCAGGGGTTAGTTATAACCCTTTAACATTTTTTAAAATAATTTGTTGATTTTAGAGAGAGAAGGGAAAAGGGATAGAGACAGACAGATATTGATTTGTTGTTCCACTCAGTTATTTGCATTTATCAGTTGACTCTTGTATGTGCTATGATTGGAGATTGAACCTGCAACCTTGGTGTGTCAGGACAATGCTCTAAACAACTAAGCTACCTGGTCAGGGCTTTGGTTACAATAGTTAATGTTGATATATAGTTAATCTTCATAATAATGACCAATGCATTTTTTTTTGGCTTGACATTTCAGATTGGCAGTTTTTTAATTTAAATAATTTTGGGTATTGTCTGGTGGAAAATAACCTTGATGAAATGGTAGTCTCTAAACACCCTTATCGGGGTATCCTAAAAGTAATGGGACAGAGAGAAGCTGGCAAGCCAAAAATTAATATGCTTGAATCACATAGTTTATTAAATAAATTTAAAACACACACTGAGCAAAGGGGAAAAGTTGAGGGAACACGTTTAGGATAGAATCCAAGTGGATAGAAGGATCACATTACTTAAATCCTGAGTTATGGATTTCTGTCTTTGTCACATAAGATGCCCTTGTAGATAGTGTGTTTACAGAGACTAGAAATGAGGTTTGGGCAAGGTGACTCAATAGATGGAAAGTGCTCAAGACTAAATGACACACACTTTTATTAGAGAAAAGTAGGGGCAAGGGCATTGGCCACACCTGTGGTTCAGCAGTCAGCCTGCTGGGCAGCTGTGGATTTGATTTTCTTTACTCAGGCAGAGTATACATGGCCCACGATGGGTGGCTAAATTAATATTTCATGAATATTGAGTGCTTTATGTGACTCAGATGTGTTTACTATGTCTTGAATTTTTGGTGGTCCGTGTATATATATTATATCTTGAATATTAAGTGTTTCCTTGATTCATCCATTTCTTTCTATCTGTGTTCATAAATACATGCTATACTTATTTTATCTGTTTAACGCATCTTACGGGTTTTCAGCTTCTAGCTATGGTGTAAACATCTTATGAGTTTTACCCATCCATTTTGCTTCTTGTCTTTTATAAAAGAATTTGAATAATCTCAAATATACAAATATGCACATTACAGATGTGAGTTCTCGTAGTCTCTTGCCTTCAATTTTAAGGTGCCTGATATTATGATTACCACATTTTTAAAAAGATTTTATTCACTTATATTTAGAGGGGAAGGGAAGGAGAGAGGGAGAGAAATATGTGTATGGTTGCCTCTAGCGTGTCCCCCCGGGAACTGGCCTGCAGCCAAGGCATGTGCCCTGACTGGGAATTGAACCACAACCTTCTAGTTCGTAGGCCCACGCTCAATCCATTGAGCTATACCAGCCAGGTCATGATTACCACATTTTTAAACTTTCAAAAGAGACAGAGCTTTCTATAGGAAATGGTGAATGAATGGATAGAGCTCATACCAATGCATCAGCATTTGCCTTGGTACAATGTACTATTAGTGAGTTTTTAGATATAAAATTGGCCTCATTTGACTGGTTGAGATTTTAGCTTGAAGATGGTATAACTAGGAAGTCAGGGTAACATGACAGATATGAAGGGGAAAATATCATCAAGGAAAAGATTCTCCAGATAGCAGCTCCATGTACAAAAGGCTATAAGTCATGTC